CCCCGTTGACAAAAAATTAATTTGAGCCCTGCTTCTATTTGACACAGATATTTGATTGAAAGTAGAATAAATGTTCCCAAATGACTTAAGGTAAAGACCAGTATTGGAAACGCCCCAATTTCAAAAAATGAAATGGAAGCTCTTATTTCCAATCATGTGTAAGAATATTTTTTGACTAATACATGATGATAAAAATTTTGCCGGGAAACCGCTCAATAATTGATATATTTGGTAAATTAGTTTATCTACATGGTCTGTGAGAGATAAACGCACGTGTCACGCACGTGTGCATATAGTCCCATATACATCTTTCTGTGTACACTGCTTGTCACTTTACGAAGACTGGGCCATATTTCTTATCATTTTGATGATTCCAGAACCTTGCAGTACACACCAATACTTATATGCTAGATGATCAACCTTTTCTGATCGATTCCACAACGTTTCTTTCACAATGCAATCACATGACCATAACTGGTCTTTACCTTTAATAATGCACCCTTGTCTGTATTTCTAGTTATGTCCTTGATACAATTTGAAATGTATATCTTTCTTTTTGCTGCAGATTTCAAGCATGATTGATGAAAATGTTGGATCTAAGTTTGATGTGGGACTCAATGCACTTGCCAACAAAGACAAAGCAGGTTTGTTCAGCTCATTTATCATTTGTATTTGTGTTTTTTGTTTATTCCATGTACTCTGGCCCATACGACATATGACTTTTATCTGCTTGTTTCATCTTTTGATATGGCCATTGACTGATGGTAGTGATACCGTAAGAGCCATTAGTCAATGGTCATATCAGGAATTTACACTTTTTGATGAAATAAATGGATGAAAGCCAGAAGTCAGAGAGGAGACATTACATGACGTTGCCTCTATGTGCAAAGGATAGCAAGAAAATTTTGTTTTACTTCTTTATCAAGCAATTTACCCCCCCCCCCCCCCCAAGAGAAATATAAACAAAAGAAGACGATGAAAGGTAGCACATAGAAAGAAGGAATGATACTACTACCTTGCTCACACAAATTTAAAACATAAGTCAATAAATACATATTATTTATAATCTTAAATCTTTACGGACTGTTACAGTTCCTGCATAAAGGGAATGCAAAGGAAGAAATGAAAGCGCATTTGCAGAACAAAGTTGATTGATAGACGAGATATTGATTTAATCTTTCCATATGTTTGTGTTTTCAGACATGAAGCAGCTCCGATGGGAGATGGATCGTGATCGATGGGTGAGAGGAGTGGATGCCAGGACCAAGGTCAGGGCCAAGAAGCTGCAGAAAGGACCCAAGGCCAAGGGCTTCAGGGGAAGGGGTAAAAAGAGATGAAAGGATGGACGGCTTGGAGGAGGAGATGTTGGAAGCGGAAGAAAGGAAGAGAGGTCTGAGACGGTGGATCGAGATTTAGCTCTAGAAAGCTAAAACAGGAGCTCTAAAATATTTATGATAAGAACAGTTCTGGTGAAACAAGAAGGAAATATAAGAACTGCTGCTTTGACATCTTACATTCCCTTGAGAAAATATAAAATGCAAGCTTTTGTGATAATACAAAAATATTTCCTACACTGGTCTGCAAGTTGTATCATTCATCAAGCTTCCTGAAATACACGACCCTGCATTAAATATGACAGATGATTCAATGTGCCGTTTTAAATCAATGTTGATTTTGATTATGTCATAGGATTTGTCTTCATATCTGATTGAACCTACATGTATATATATCCTTAGCATACAACATAAACAAGTCATGACTTTGCCATCCCCCTCCCCTTCTTGAAGGTATTCATGATCCCCCCCCCCCTAAAAAATAAAATAATACAGTGGAACCTCGTTTTAACGAGATCTTTGGGACAATGGAAATTACATGTACCTTGTTATATCAAGGGGAAGGAAAAAAGGAATAAAAAGAGCTGGGACCAGCAAGATCACATTGTAATGATAAATGAAAAATCCTTAAGTTTGATATTTCTGACGAAATGCCAGTGACAGTACCCTCTCAAATGGTTAAGTTTAAATCACATATGAAATGATCCAGAAATTTGATAATTCTAATACAGGCTACAATTTAAAACAAGACAACGGGGCATGCACCCTAGTATGTGCGTGTGGTTTTAATTTGCATTTGCTTTGAAAGACTGCGAGTCTTTGAAATTTATATGATTTCGAAATTGTAGGCACAGGGTGATTTTTTAAAATAAAGTCAAAAGGATCGTGCCGGGCAAAAAATAAGATCACTGTAGAATGCAAGAACTTTCCTGAGATTTTCCTGTACATTGTAACATTTTCAGATTAGAATATCAAAGACTTTTTAATAATCATGTACTTGTGTATATACAATACATTGAGATAAAAATAAATACATTTGAACAAAGACTTAACAGTTTGGAATGATTTTTATTGTTGTCGAATTTCATTATATATATGAACACGTACAATAATTTATAACGATTAATATTCAATACATTTCGCATTCGAATTGGAAGCTATAATTCTACCACGTGTACTTAACATTTTCAAGCATGGTTACATGTTAAGCTTTTCATGAATCTAATTAAAACATTGATAATTGTGATTTTGTTAGTACATTTACTTACTTCTTAATTAAAAAAAAAATGACCATTTCAGCTCCAATGGACAAGATAATCTAAAAATGAAGTTCCACATTTTGTGAATTTATGTATTTACTTACAAGTGTGTTTTTCTTCGTACATGTAGTTATAAAAATATTCATATACCAGCAATAGTGTCCACTCATACTGCATGAAATAGTTCATGAGAAACATTTTAAATGGAAAATGTCCTTGAAATTGGCAACAAATTATATTTGTCCATTTATGATTATCTAAACATTTTCAAGTTATCAAGTTTCCGTCGCAGCCGTCGTATCAAACGTCCTTGATGTTTGTTTGTACTGAGCAGCATTGAAATAAAATCAATGCTACCAACTAAGAGGACGAAAATAACATTTAAGTTTGCCTTCTTTCCCTTTTCTTCCCAGTGTTTTTTTTTTTTCTTCCATGTTCATCTTCAATACTGTTTATAACACTGGATTTATGTAATTCTTACATCTCATATTCACACTGTAGACGAGTATATTTCGTTGTCATATTGCATAAGCATTTTACCTTTGTGTGAAATTAACAAAACATATAAACCTATATAGACACCATTTATAAGCGAGAGCGAGTACAATAACTATACAAAGTAGTATAAGAGCTTATGTTATTATATCCCATAGACTACCGTTACCCATTCTACTTGAAAATAAGCATTTCTTTAGTGTTTATTAGCACAATTTCATTGATTTGCAGTGTTTTGCACCTCTTACCACTTATAAACTACGGTCTATGTACAGTTGTATAAGCACGAGTTCTCTGAAAATGATAATTGTAACATGCAAATTTTTCAAACAATCAGCATAACTTGAATTATTTTAATGAAGGCACTTTGAGGTACATGTAATTAATGTACATACTGTCCAAGCAGAGAGGAAGGTTTCAAGAGCGGGGAAAAAATACCATCCCTTTGATGTTTGATGGGGATACAATTCATTTGTGGTTTGCTTTCAATACTGAGAAAGAAAAAAATTAATATGAGGAAAATATTTGTTAGATATTCAGTACTGTACTGTATATACCATTTTGTGTTATCCTTTATTTTTATTTTCGACGATGGGTGGTTAAATCATGTTGCATACTGTAATACCAAGTCATACCCGCTTCTCCACAACAGTTTAATGAACCACTGTACATTCTTCTTCTTCAAGATAATCTGCTTCCTTCAATACTGAAGATTCTTGCAGATGCCGTATACTCTGCCTGATTGGGGTGTGCAGGTGGACCATTACACCGGGGTTTCCCCCTACTCTTATACGAATAGTGCAAGGGTGGTGACTCTCCTGTACACGGGGCCTCCATTTAACGTCCTATCCGAGGGACGGAGTGTTTTCCACTCAACATAGTCTGCGTCTATGAACAAGGGAAAGGGCACGTTAACACACAACGCAGGCTTCAGTCATCCGCCTTGGTGGGAGTCAAACCCGGGATCTTTGGTTCGACAGGCAGACGCTTTACCGACTGAGCCAACTTGCCTCCTCATTACTGTACATTAATGAACACACAAAGTGAACACTGAAAATCCCACTGCAACGGGTCTTTGGGAAAATCCACATACCCCGGTATCCTATTCAAAACTAAGTGACAACTTAAGCAATTTAGTCATTCATTCTACAAAAAATAAACATTCATTGTTGACCTTAGATAGTTTATTAGAATAACAAGAAGTCACTTTGAAATCAGTATATATGAAAGAATGGTGACATTTGTAACTCTGCATTATAATCCAAGAAAACAATAATTAAAAAAGTACATGAATACTGTAAATAACTACTGTATCTAAAAATTATTAAAACTATAGACACGTACATTGTTTTAAAAAATGTGCACCTTATATGTTCAAAAGTAAATACATTATCAGTCACAGTCGATGAAATACTTTTTCATTGCACAATTATAAGAAAGTGTAAAATAGAATTAACACTTGTCCCTTCATTGCAAAGGCAAAGCTCTGTGTCATTTGCATCTGAAAACTACGTAATACATTAAATAATAATTCAGTACAGTTTGTCCATGTGCAATAATACTTACAGTACAAGAAAATAATATCACATTTGTTACCAAATCCATATCCCATTAGTAAAAATTATCATTTCTTTCTCTGTGAGGAGTGATGCAGACCTATTCCATATCTTTGAGTCGTAATTAAAATGCTCTTCCAATTTTTGTCCCAATTCACCCTAGTCATTCATGAATCATGATGATTAATCATATTTCATGACATGTACTCGTACCCAAAGTCAAACTCTGCAATCTTTCACGTCTCCTGATACAAATCATTTAAAGAAGACAATATTTCACTTCGCTTATCTTCCATCAATAAATAGAATTTCTTTAGGTCTGGAATAGAGTTCTTCACGGAAGAAACAATTCGATGTCATGTTGTCTGCAAGTGGGGTATATCATCATCTGACAAATACTCAGTTCTCTCTGACTTGCTTCCGAGACTCGCTAACTTCATACACAGGAAGACGGGAACGACCATGATAGTTGCGCTCAGGGGGTCGCTTCTGGTACACGCTATCAAGATACAGAAGATTTGCAGGTATGGGATCCCGAATATGAGGGCCCAGAACCAGAAAGGAAGAGCCACCAGGCGTCTGGTGATGGACATGTACCATGTGAGTTGATTGGGGTTGAGACGGAGCGTGTCCGAGTACGTCTGGACGTGGTCCAGGGCAAGGGTGTTGTACTGGTCACTGAGCTCGAAGATGAAGTACCACAAAAAACAGCTGAGGGCCAGGAATAAGACCACAAATAACCATCCCATCCTTTGTCGGAATTTCATGTTGCTTCGCAGATGTAGTCGTGCACAATGAAAGGAAAGCACTCTGGAATGAACAAAAAAATTAACATGGTGCATTTACGTTTACCTTTATTCTGTAATAATGCTTTATAAGTGTATGAACATATAGTTCTTTTTATATCAAAAGTATATACTAGAAGTGTAAATCCAAGGAGCAAGCAACTCTCCTAAAGGAGGCAATTCTGAATTCAAGACTTTTGCAGTTATTTCAATAATCACCAATCAGATATATTTTTGAAAAATTTAATATTTAGGTCTACTTTTCAACAAGTACCAAATTTCACCATATTCACTAATGATGAAATCCACACATTACTCATTAGTAACAAGGTTTGACAAGTCTAGTCTTAATTTAAGATCCATTTGATGCAACAGCCATTGTTTTGTGTACACTGATAATACTGATACTAGTGATGGCTGATTATCAAGGCCAGGGTTAGGCTATAAAAAAAAAAAACCAACACAGATTGAAGCACACGGGACATGTTCATAACTTTAACTCCAGATCCAGTGAGCTCGTAAGACTGTAGAAATCCTCAATTCTTCGTAATTATCAGCTCAGTATTTTAAAGTAAATATGTATGAACAAAGATGATTAGCTATATTTACCCTACTCAAGCTGTACCGAGTTATAGAGGGACCGTGCGTGTAATGAAAATACTAAAGTATTTTTGCTTCATTCAAGGTCCACGACATCAATCAATTTAAACTATACATATATTTGATGTAATTTGAGTAACTTTCAATTAGTTTTAGAAGTAATTTGATACTTAAAATATTTTAGGATATTTATAGATATATTTATATAACGATAAATGGAAGATATGTTATGACTAAAATAAATTAATTCAGTAAAGTTACACTGACATACGAAAGTGCCTGTTTATATTCAAAATGGCGGCGCCCTGTGTCTCATGCGAAATTTCATTGAAGTCCGGAGAAAGGACCAATATCAAGTGTGTTCTCGCTACAAATGACGGGAAATTCTCGCGTCAGTCTGTTCGAGATGCTATTTCTAAGGTACAGGCAGATGTGAATGCATTTTTGACGGTTCAGGTGGAGAAAGAGAAGCAAGAAAGTGCACAACTAAAAAGCAGCGGTGTGAGGCCTCACGCCAAATCCGGGGCCGCCGGAGACGCAGGCGGAGCTGCTGGTGGAGAGGGAGACGTTCTCACGAGTGTGACAGGCGCTGGTATGTATGATGGGGGTGGTTAGGCGCTAGCTCACTAGTGTGTCTATACTTTGGACCTGTAACTCTAGCTCTAGCTCTCTCTTGTATCCTTCCTCCGCTCAGGTCGGAGATCGTCGGCACTGTGAGTCTGCCGAAGTTACATAAATGGCGTGGAGGTTATCCTTCTAATATAACATACAAAAAATCAACTAAATCTGCAACAATTGTGAAAAATAATGGTCATGATTCAAAATCGTTATCTTTCTTACCTGATTTGTGTCAATTTTCTTTTCTTTTTTGGAGTATTTTTCGAAAACATTATAAATAACATACCGGTACACTTTCTCACAGGTTTCACTGCAAACTGCTGCAAGATCCAAGTACATACAGCATTATACGGAGCAGTGCAGGTGGGCGGCGCGTGAGTGAAGTACTTAGAGACCATAATGAGGATCTGAGCCGAGACGAAGATATTAGTTGTCTTGGTTTTTAGGAAAAATAATTTTTAAAAATAAGAAAATTGAGACGAGACAGTTTAGAAAGATAACGACTTTGAAATCATGACCATTTTTTGAACAATTGTTAAAGATTTAGTTGATATTTGGTATGTTATATTTGTGTTTAGTAGGGTACTCTCCACGCGCAAGTCACAGGTCCAAAAATAGGCACACTTGTGAACTTGCGTCATTGGGTGTTGGGTGACCGGATACTTAACAAACATAAAGTCTTCTCTTTTACCTTTTGATTTATCGAAAAATATTTATCAAACAGCACTCACAAGTATAAATATGTGTCCTTTATAATATTGTTCAACATAAGTCTTAAAGGTTTATAAAATGTTGATACATGTAAACTTCTTCAAAATGCTGTTTTAAATCAATTGTCCGGATACTCAACATCTGGGTATTGGACTGGCTCACTAGTGTGACCAAACTTTTCATAAATGTCACAATTGATCTATGATATATAATTTTTTGTCAGATATGGTCTATTGTATTGCCTTGTCAAATTTACCCTAGTTTGACAGTCAACAGGGGGTGAAAATCTGTGTACAAATATTCAAACCAAGGACAGGTTGTTCTAACTCTTGTTAGTAGATCAGAAAATTCAGAGGGGAAATGGATGAAAATTAAAGAATGAACAATTTGGAATATTTCAAAATTTAGACCAATAATGACATTCAGAACAGCCCAAGTGCACAACAAGTCATGAACTCATGATACACAACAAGGATGTTTTTCTTTTGCTGTATGCTATCTTGCTAAGTGGCTAACAGTAACAGTTACTCATTAAATCTCTGTCTGTCAATTCTTGTAGATTAAAATCAAATGGCATATTTTTTCCATGACGTAAGTCTTTGAGCAACATATTTTACATGCCATACATAATTTTTGTTTTGTTTTGTTTGTTCTATTTTTGGAAAGATTCAATTGCTCTTTAAAATTTTAATTGTGGAGCACCAGGAGTGTCAAGTTTGACAGGCACAGGCGCTATTCAAGAACCCACTACATTTATTACTAAATTCTATTACTGCTATTATTATTGTTATTATTATCATCATTATTATTATCATCATCATCATCATCATCATCATCATCACCTTCATCTTCATCTTCCTCATCATCATCATCATTATTTTCATTATCATTATCATCATCATCATCATCATCAACATCATCATCATCGTCGTCGTCATCGTTGTCATCATCACTGGTAATTATTTTAATATAAACAAATATTTAGAATTCTGTGTACACAGTTATTTCTTTTCTTGATATTTCAGGGGATGATTCTGATGATGTGGGTTTAGAGGAGGATGAAGATGATGAGGAGGAAGACGTTCCAAAAAATGCAGACAATGATGAAGACCAGACGGGCAAAAGAGAAGCCAAGGACTGGGATTCAACATCAAGTAAAAAGTCCAAGTTATCCGATAGCTGACAAAAATAAGACATTGACCCTAATCAGTGATTTTATGTTGGAATCTAAAAGATTGATTAGAATGTATGACTTGTACAGTTTATAATTTATGTATACATGTAAATATTTTGCACTGATGTAAAATTGTACTGGCAGGAAGGATGTGCTTGAAAAATCCATTGAACAGATTGACAACTAGATTAGAATTTCCTGCAATATAAATTATAAAGTATCTGTAGTATTCTGTACTAGGACTGTCAACATCCGTGATTGATCATCATCATCATCATCATTGAGTATAGGATGTAGGCGTTGGCCTGTAATTCCCAGAAACTATGTCTGGCATTGTCATTTGAGAAAGATAGTACAAATACTTGTGTGCATGATGTAGGACTCTTGTTTTCAAACAAATGAGCACAGTGGATAAGTCAAAAGGCATAAGAGTATAATTCTACACATTACACAAAACCTATTACTCCCATGAGCTAAAGGCAAAATCTTAATTTAGTATTTTGACAGTCTACCTAATCAGACTCAAGTAGTGTACCTGTAATTTAATTACCATACTGCTAAATTATAAGTACTAGGTCGAGTTGAAACACTTTTAAGTCTCTGATTTTTTTGTACAACTTCTGGAGAAGATACTTGTCTCTCAAATTTGTTTTCTGCATTTCAGTTTTTCCAAATAATGCCCTTTGGCTGAATTATCAAAATAGTTGGAATGCCTTTTCAGACCCCCCCCCCCCCCCCCCCCCCCACAACAACAAAAATGTGATCACAATATTTTGAGATACCTGCCCAGACCAATGATTGTGAGTAAGATTGGCAGGAGAGGATAGAATTATCTTTTTTTCATTTGAAGCTTAAAGTAACACAGGGTAATGATAATTATTTATTCACTTCCTATTAACAATTCCTGGAGTATATGAAAGAAAGTGCAAAATGTGTACGTATATCTTTTTATGAAAACAAAAGGAAGTGAAAATGATACATTGCAATTGTGTTTTTTCCCAAAAGTTATGGTGTATTACTTTAATTGCAAAATGTATCTTTTAGCTGCATATGTAGTATGCAAAATTTGTAACTAATACAAACAATATATTGATTGGGACCTTTGTCCTTTCACTTTCATATTATGTTTTGTTTCATTTAGACATTGCTGCATAAACAAAAGTAAAAGATATCACAGAAATACCAAAATTAGTAAGTCCATCCCCATTTTTTCACTTTATTTCGTTGTTTAAAATGATGTATCAGGAGATTTTTTCATGATACCATACGCAGTCCGCGTATTTACTAATTGTTTATGGTAGAGATCACCAATTGCCCATATATTTATATCCCTTATGATAATTACATGTACTATGTTATCAATTTGTTCAACTCTATATTAAATCTAGATTTTCAGGGTAGTCATTTACTTAACATTCAGATAATATTATCACTGAAGCTTTACCGAAGTCCAGTCTTATTTATCTGTACAATTGTTACTCTTGTAAACATGCTGATTGATATGTGTAAATGTCTTTTTTTATGTCTTCTTTTGAAGACCAATCTTTCTTCTAAAAATTAGACAAGCAAAATGCAGAAGTTCAAAACAATATGGTTGTTGTCCAAAAAGTGTCGAAGGAGTATTGTCCTTTGTAAGATACATGTATATATATATACTTAAGTATGTGCATTTCCATTTGGTGAATGCCAGTAGGAAACAATGCATTTTATTTTATGAGCACAAAAAACATCAACCAAGAGGGAATTTTAAATTTATGTAAAAGACATTATTTGTTTGTGTAAATGATAAAAATCATGATTATGTATTTTACTATTTTATGTCAAAATGTTTCTTTGTATAAAGATTATTAAAAACAATCAGCCGTAGACGAAAGACTTCATGCATGGCTGATTGTCAACGAAACGGAGTTAAATCTCTTGTCAATTCTGCTTTTTTTTTTTCTACGGCTGGCAGCCAGTGAAAACGAATTCGTTTGATAAAATTATGGAAATGCAAGCACTACTTTAAACAAACAGAACTTTTGTCATTCCTTGCTCATTTTTCCTGATTGATGTGTCATATGAAAGGGCAGAAACTCAACTTTCTAGAAATGTGATATTCTCTTTGTAATTCAGATACCGTCCGCCAAATGACTTTTTGGTTTCCTCTCTTCAAATTGATTTTAATCACTCATGCATGAATTAAGCATCATATGAGTTGCATCAAATAAAAAAAGAGGATCTAAACTTTCCAAATATGTGTCATTTATTAATTATAAATCTGACTAAGTTATGATAAAACATCGATAATTCTCGGTTTCGTTTCTTCTGGGACGCCTTGTATGGTGTCGTTATTGCAAATTTAGCAATGTTTACTTCTGTGTCATACAATAGGCCTACGTACATAATCAAACTGTAATGGAAGCATCTCCCATATCACTTTTAAATCTAGCTGTTAGGATATGTTTGCTCTGTACTATTTTATCAAACCAATTGAAAGAATGACGATCATAAATTGAAGGAAAATATCCTCCATTAATCGACTTAACTAGAGAATGTTTAATTCCAAGCCAATTGACTTTTGAACCCAATAATTTTACTAATAAATCCAGTTGTCGTATGAATGAAATGGACCCATAACTGATAAAAGCAGTAGGGATGGGGAGGGATGGACTAATATGTCACAGATAAAAGAAGAAGAATATTGGTTTTCAGTCGAATATTTTGATGAGACCATAAACGCGAGAAGAAGAAAAATGGAAGACAAATCGAAACAGTGAGAACATGACCAGCTGCGTACACAGACCCTTCTCGTTGCCATAGTACTTGTTTAATCAATGGATTGCATTCTAGATATAAATAATGATTAAGTATATTTCTTCGAATGCTCCGATTGTACTACGTATATAGTGAGACAGTGTAGCGTAGGTCCAACCACTGAAGGGTCACTTGACATTGGGGGACCAGTCTTACGAGGTGGATGAAATCGAGTGAGGGGAGGGGATGCGAGAAGGTGTCTTATCCAGGCACAAAAATCCAATATTGATTGAACTTTTTTAGACCCCTTTTTCTTTACCTCGATCGCTTACATGTTTGTGCCCCCCCCCCCCCCCAAACATCAAACTCTGGCTACGTGCCTGGTCTTATCTCATATACATTTTGCCTTCCGCTTTCCCCTTCTTTCACCTATATCTCTAATATTTGTCTTTGTTTTGTGTCCCCCCCCCCCTTTTTTTCTTCCTTCGCCATTCGATGAAATTCAAATTTGTCGACAGCGTTACCTAAAAAGAACACACCGCCCCCTCCCCCCCCCCTTCTCTCTCTCTCTCTCTCTCTCTCTCCCTCTCCCTCTCTCCCTCCCTCCCTTGGATATATATATATTTCAACGTACATATCTATTATATTCTGTTTTGGAGACTGTGAACATAATATCCCCGTAAAGAGTCGCCTTACAGGACAATCAAACATTTCAAACAATTTTCATTGAAGTCCTGGCAGCATAAGGATTTATTAGTTGTTAGGTTGAGGGTTAACTGAAGGAAAATGAATTGTGAGACAATTTCTTTTCTCGGTCTTTTGAACCAGGATACAAGAAAATATGTAATTTCACCAACTGTTGCGTAGCTACGGGGACATGTGCCCCAAATCAAATGGCAAGAGAGAGAAGGGAGGAGAAAGAGAAAGAGGAAGAGAGAGAGAGAGAGAGAGAGTGGGGGGGGGGCGGTGGCAAAAAGGCCATTGAAGGAAGAAGATGGGAAGAGGACATAACGAATCATCCCATCAATTAATGGCCTTTTTAAATTTGCATTTCATTCACAAGTAAGACCGTGTCCCCTCCCCCCCCCCCCTCTTTACCCACATGCCAGCGAGTGCCCTCAATGTCTCTGCCCAAAGTACGCCACTCACACGATTTGGTCGGCGGTTTTATTATTTTAAAAATCACCGATGAAACTTGATGTCAAATAATTTATTTATTTACCTTTAGAAAACTACTAGGCGTCTAGGACTACATGTATAAATCTATAACAGCCTACATTGACTTGACTTGGTGAAAGTCCCTATTATAGCAAAAACATAAAACCGAGACCTACAAGTTAATGTCAGAAAAGGATGAAGTGGGGGTGTTCGAAAAAAAATCTCGAAAATCGGTTATCCCTGTATTACAAGTTATATGTAGTGGAGTACATATTATGTTCAAAGCGATCATGAACATTTTTTTAATAAAATTTATTTCTAGTGGTAGGGAGGGAAGGCGCTTATAAGGATCTGCCTATGATAATTTTATACCATTTAGGCGACACACAATAATACTTCGGCCTACATTTTGTGTTTTCTGCCAAGTCGAGATATTGTATTACTGAAATCGTATCGCTCCGGGAAGCATGTCATTGACTATACTATAACATTTATTTACGTTCGCTGCAAAAGTCAATAGAATATGACCAAAGTAAACTGTTCGCACTAAACTTCAAGGGAGGTCCTTGAAAGATACACTTGAGTGATCTTCAATAACTATCATCCATTAATTTCTAAGAGTGTCCGGGACATTATTATCGTAACGAAACCGCAAAAATATTGTGATGAATTGAGTTCGGATGGTGGGATTCCTGTGTGCATGCTGTCATGAAGAATTGCTGTCAAATTTGAACTTTGCATGCAGTCCATAAATTCCATCATGTTGTGATAGTGGCTGTATACATTTTATATATACGTCATTCACAGAGCGCTTATAGTATACAATTCGGTAGTCCGACTTTATTATCAAGAGTGCGAAGTTTTATATTGCACCGTGACAGGCGAGAGAAGAACATTGCCACCTTTTATTGTTCGAACAATGATTTATGACAATACATCGAATTCTTTTTTTTTGCTGCAATTCATAATTCGGTAAGTTCAGACCCGCATAATTTGGGAAACACAGTCTTTCCTTGAACACGGATATACCATATCACTACATGTCCATGACTCTGACTGTGACCGTGGTTTTGGAAAGCCTGTATCAAACCAGGATGAAATGTTTGTCTTTGACTGGCTTTGTAATAAGCTGACTTCACAGTTATCAACGCGGAAACAGGATTATAAACTGGCAGCTGTTTATATATAAACTTCCGGAAGCAAACTATATCTCTGGAAAAAATGTCGTGAACATGATATCATCATGACTTTGTAGGCCGTAATTGACATTTGAAGTGCTCTATTTTCATTGTCTTCATCGTAATTTTTCATCATGAGATCAGAAATGGAAGAACAGTAACAGCCAAGGGTCCATTGTGGATTGAAAGGACACGCAACGATCTGAGTGGAAACAGAACTGTATACAATATATAAATTTGGTTCCCACGCGTGGCGGGAAAACTTTGCGGGTCGTCTGCTTCACAAATAAATTTCATATTCAGTTCGTCATACTGCGAGAAGAAGAAAAAAAAATGTTCCACACGTGTGAATTCGGAATACTGTCTGGTGTCTTACCGGGGGACTCCAGACTAAATAAAAGGGTAAGTTTGAATTCAATTATCTAACAAATTGGAAGAAATAGTAGGTAAAGAGGTGGAAGTTGGGCCAAATTGTCTTTTTGTGAATATTCCTATCCAGAGAACTTACATGGTAAGTATAGAGTATATTTGTGTTTCACATACACTTAAAGTGAATGTATGATGTTGCTATCTAACGAAGCATTTCATATCGATTCGTTAAACGTGCTCTATTCAAAGTCACACACTGGAGGAAAGTTTTGTCAGCAACAAGGCCAAAAAGCGAAATGACGTGCGTGGTCACGCTCGAGGGGGAGGGGGTCATCCTCAAGCTCTTCTCTTAAACAAAGAGGAATATCGACCCACCTACATTACAAATCGTTACACAGGTATCACAGATCATTGAGCATATTTCGAACATAAAAGAAGGCGTTATGTGTAAGTTTTGGGACAAGACGTTCATAATTTTCAAGCAAATGCTCTATCCTTGCATGGACACAGTTTTAAAAAGGTCCACTCTTATATACATGTATTTATCACATGATGCCACTAAATACAATCTCTGGAGTAAGGAATTAATTTTCGTTATACACGAACACAAACAAAAACAGTCTTGATCATATAATTTGCACATAGAATTTGCTGAGCTGTGGATAAAATCATCATTTTCGCCTGTAGATCCCATGGATTTGAATAGAGATTATAGCACTTGAGTATAATGCGTTGGACTTTGTACACCGATTACGATGGATTTACATGTATTTCCGCAAGTGCCTGCCAAACACTTAGACCCTATTCCTTTTCTATACGAAGAATGTGTTAATGCGGCAACAACAAGGTAGACCTACTCTTTAAATAGAAATCTATCAGAATTATGTCTTCCCTTTGGACGGAAACAAACCTAAAACCAAACGTAAAATCAATTATCACATCCAGTCTCTTCACTAATGAGAGATGTTCCCGGAAATAGACCCCCTTTTCACAATCACCCGAAAGATGCTTTCTCAAGTGGCGTCGCCATGGAAACCCTGTCCTAAACTGGGAATCAGCTGTCTCTTTTTAATAATCGTTTGTACAATAATTGATTAAGCCGTGATTTTCCCTGTCTGAAACACAGGGTTTGGGAATGTATTGAAAAGTGCACCGTTTTCAGGTTATGCCAAAGAAGGGATGGCATTCTCGGATTTGTTAGTTTTTTTTTATATTTCCGTCATTCTACAAGAAAATGATATGTTTGTGTCGGACTATGTATTACTTGGACAGCTCTGAGGTTTAAGTCAGTGTCGCGGTGAAAACTGAAGTTCTTTTTTTCCCCGACAGAGTGAGGTGATAGTGTGTGTTGTTAAACAAGGTAATATCAATGTTGTTGTGGTATTCTATTGAGTGAAATATTATTGGAACCTGCTGTAGTTTCTACCATTCAGTGTCATTTTTGAGATACACCATCTCGAAAATGTATAGGTCAAAGTATGAGCGTCAAGGCATCTTATAAACTCAGAATATTTTATCCAAGTATGCTCAAATGGGCGTTTGAAAGTTTTGTTCGACATTCAATGTCATTAGTAATACACAAATCAAACTTTATACCTGTATTTTGGGAAGGGAAAAATCATTTCGAAAATGTCAAGCAATGTGATCCTAACAATATTGTTTGTTGACGTGAAGAATACATTTTGGTATTTTGCATGATTTCTTCTTTTGTTCGGTTAAATGTGCATACAGAAAAAAATCAGGCCTATCTAGACATTTCAACCCTATGTTCCACAGTTTTGACATTTCATGATGAACTTTCCGAACGTGCACATATTAATGATTCTACATAATATATTTGCCATATAGCATGCAGGCAAAACAGGTGTAGAGAATAATCATGTGCTTTAATATATCAAGATAAAGTTCACTTGTATTATTTTCATGATTTCCAATCTCAGGACCGATCGCAGAGATGCAATGAATGTGACACGATGTCAAAGAAGATCATATCAGAAAAGGAGATCCAGGAATCTGTGGTCGTCTTAAAAGACAGATTGCGAGTGAGTATTTATCTTCCATTTCATACCTTTAATCTAAAATTAATGAATTGACTCATTTTGAATGTTTGAAGTTTGCTTTTTTAATTCGTTAATTATAACATTTCTTATTGGAATGCCACCTCGTTTTAATCTTCGGGGGCTCTCACTAGTGTATAATATTATGCTTCTTTTTAAAGGAGGGATAGGCAGATCGAGACACTATTTTCTTGTTTTATATTATACCCTTTCTTTCTCGCATAATATGCTCCCTTACGCCATACTCTTTCTCACAGTTAATTCTACATACTGTTCGCACTCACTGTCCTATTATGATCGACGCCCCTGTCATTAAAGCTTATTTGAGTCTAGGGTCCTATATAGGGACACCTCTTCGGGATTTTTCAAACTTATTATTGTCGGGCGTTGATAACCAACCCTGCCCCCATCGGTCCCCCTCCCCCCAAATCGTCTGACCAAAATTGTCTGTCATGGGCATAATTTCCTCTTTTATTTTTGATGAGCAACCCTTAAAAGGGGATTAGGAAATTTGGAGGTCGGGGACGACCGGACGAGTGTGTATAAATTAAAGCGATTATTTGGGCGCTGGGTGGCACGGTTCTAGGACAATTACCCCCTAGACAGTCACCCACGGCCGATTACCAGCGGGACAATTATCCCCTGGAAAATTACCCCCGGAAAATTACCCCGTAAGGACAACCATCCACCCCCCCCCCCCGTGGAAAAATTACCCCCGCCCCCGGAAATTCACCCCATAGGTCATTTTCCTCCGGAGGCTAATTACCATCCAGAAATTACCCACTAGGATAACAACCCCCGTGTGGGTGTGTGTGTGTGGGGGGGGGGGGAGACGCACATATCTTGTCTTTGGTTAATTGTCTGAGGGGGCAATTGTTCACGGGGGGGGGGGGGGGTGTAATTGTCGTAGGTTGTAATTTTCCGTGGGGTAATTGTCCTCGGGAGATGATTGTCAGGGGGGGGGGGGTAAATTTCCGAGGGATAATTTTCCGAGGGCTGATTGTCTATTGGGGTAATTGTCTTGATACGAAGTGGCGCATGCCCGCTGTGCCCTACCCCTTGCTCCTTGCTATCCGCCATTTTTATAGTCAACACCTCGATGCAAAATAAATATCCATTATTCCATGCATTTAAAGATGAGACTATGTCTTATTTCTTTTTATATAATATTCCTTGCCTAATATAATATAAATCGTTATTCTTGGTTACAGATAATGCAGATCATGGTTGACGACTGCGCCGACATGTTCCAACAGAAGAAGATCAAGAAATGGAAAGCGGCAAGGCGACAATCGCGTGATGCCCACTACGAGTTGGACTGGAATATCATCGGTTGTGTTCTCATCATTATATTCTGTTTCCTGTTTCGTTCTGTCATAGCTCTTATTCGCGGTCCTGTAGTTCTGGAACCTTGCATTGAGCTAGAGCCCATCGCAGAGCCCGTAAACTGAACCAGGAAAATAATACAAATTTTAGTAGGCCTACATGCATTTGCCTGTAGGCCTATTGCCTTCGCCTATGACAGACTGGGAAGCAGGAGACATTGCTATTTTGTATATATATCTGAATTTCTCCTTTGATGGCTGCATGGAAACAGAGCGTTTTTACACTAATGGAAAGCAGGGGCATCAAATACTGGAGATATAGGAATGAGCGGCCGGGATGAGCGGCTGATCTCTTCCCAATCATTCCGGAACAACTCAGAATATGTCGCGTTTTTCGACGTATAGTGATTATTGTTCTATCGCGACTTATCCACCGGTACACTGATGCCCCCCCTCTTCCACTCCATCATAGCACCAGTGGCTGGACACACGATATGCCCCTCTGAATGGACTTGGTTATATCTGGTGTCATGTTGCTCCGTTTTGTGTAAATGGAAGTGGAAATGGGCGATTCCATGCAAGCATTACAATCCAGTCAGATATAAGCTTTTATATGTTTATTTATTTTCATCCCTATTTTTTAAATAAATTATATTGATATGACCATTGACAATAGTTCATTCTGGTATCACTATTACTTTTACATGGACATGTCAAGAGGTTTTTCATTCTAGATGAAATAACTATCATATTTTATCCATTTATGTATTCACATAAATCACTAAAATATGATGTCATGTTATGAGTGTATAAATAATTATATTTTTGTCATGAAATGAATAAACACAAAACCTACAAGCACTTTCTTACTTTCTCAGTGTTTATTATTACTCTAAATCAATCAATCAATCAAACAACAAACCAACTACGGTTCTCAATAGTATACTTCATCATTCAGCTCCCACATAGATACATCAGACAAGACCTCTCAAGACTCAAATACAGTACTTTCGAGGTTTATAAAATATTATCTATATTCGCGGTAGAGGTTTACGGTACACCATGTGTAAAGTCCTAGAAGGACTAAGGAAAGTGGATAGAAAATAGAAGTGAAATGGAAAGGCGAGAAAGTGGAGGTTGGAAGGAAGAGTATCTTTCGGAAGTGAGTATAGTCCTGAAAAGGACTGTAAACCAGAAAGTAGTAGACAGGATGAGAGGTTTGAGTAGAAGACTGGATTGAGTTGGAGAGTTGAGTAGAGTTGCAGAGCAGGAGCAGGAGAGTAGACTCGACGTTTCGGACAGGTTGACTGTCCGTCTTCAGGAGTGATATTGTTTTGTAATTCAGCAAACCTGGGGCTTATATTGCCAATTTTGTTTATTTAAAAAAAATCTTTACCCTTTACTCTATTCCATTTCTAATGAGACAAAGTACGTAAAGTACTTAAAGTACAAAATGCCAGAAAACGAAGTAAAATAATAAACAAACATTAACTAATGTCGGCGGATCATCGAAACAAATACACATTTTTGTGTAAGACTTTTCTCCTTAGCTAATGGTATAATCGATAATAGTAGGAGACTAGAAGAACATAATGGAAAGTGTGTTAGAATATAGAGTTTCGTATCTGGCAAAGCGCGAAATCAAATTACACGTTTTATCACATATCCATACTCAGACAACTTTTTCTGGTCAGCATAAAGTATCTTTTGAATTGAATTTACGACTGCGTTTGTGAAACATAAATACGATATTAACTTCATGTACATTACGTACATGTTATTTGTAAATAATTTCTGCCACAGTTTATCCAGGGATGTTGGAATTCCAACTCCCTGGTTTCTCTAAACGCTGGTATATATAATGTTTGAAACGCTAGATGGCGCTATATACGATTACAATTTCTTTGGCAATGACCTCTCGCTCAACGTTTGGCTCGTTGGTATACACAGTTGGTACATTATTTTCGTTTTGATAAATTCATACCTGCATACTTAAGAGAAATGGGCAACAATTCATACAATATTTTCTGTCTACAAATCTTTATTTTCATAGGGTGCCGGATATTTTATTTCATATTATTCAGTTTTGCTTGGTGGAAGAATAAAAATTAAGATTATAGTCCAAGAATTTAAAAATCCTTGGATCCTAGATCTTTCCCATTGTACTTTTTCATTTACCCCCTCCCCCTCCGTTGAGACTGATTGTTACAACATATTTTGTCAAAGGGAGAACAATAAAATTGCTTGATATTCTATAAGGAGGCTAGATAATTTACACATTGCCACCTACTCCCATCTTTGGCGAGACTAAACGAATTTAATTAGCGAAACTGGTTATTATTTGCCCTTCAACCCTTCCTAGTCAGTTTTATGACATTGAACTCTTAATTTCTTCCGATTTTCTTCTTCAATTGCATTTCTCTTTCATTGATCTTTTGTTAGGGGGTGGTAGGGGCGGTACTATAGTAGACCTTACACTTTAAGATGAGCGATCTTTCTGAGAGAAAAAAATTGTGATGAGAGTGCCACGCCCAACTCCCATCCATAGAAACGGCCATGTTTATTCCTTCCGCTCCTACAGCAACCCTCCAACCAAAACCTTCTCCAGGATTGATGAAGTCGTTGATCAGCGGGGTCGTTGGGCAATAATGTTTAATCAGGTGCCCTGCGGGAGAAGTTGACCTTTAGAGGGTCTCAACTCCTACGTTATTCCTTTCATTAAGGAATACGAGTTTGTCTGGTGACTCCTTGGTTTCATGCATCCTTCTCGTTCCGAAAACAAAAGGTGTCGTCTCGATGCGTGGGTGCATCAATGGATGCCTCGAGTTCAGGATTAGTACCCCCAAGGGTCCCAATGAAAGGTTGGAAGCGGCAATACATTTCAATTCAAAATCAATCGAAATATCACTTTGATTAGAATTCTATTATGACACTAAATGTTAGATTTAGCACTACGCATTATTGTATTTTTCACATGTTTCATTATTGTTATTATTATTAATAATAATAATAATAAGAAGAAGAATGATCATAAAGATAAAGATAATAACCACAATAATGACAATAGCAATTATAATACAATACAGCGTACGCAAACTATGTTTTTAAATCCACCCTCCCTCTTTCTCTCTCTCTCTCTCTCCCGAGTGAGAGAATTATTGATGGACAGTAGTTGTGTAAGGTGTATGGACTACATGGTGTCACGGGGGTGCATCCACCGGTCTTGATAGGATGATGAAATACGAGAAAACAGGCAAAAAGGGGGTGCTGTAGTAGGGCATGGAAGGGGCTTGTTCTTATCTTCTTGCATGTCTCCTTGCTATTTCCCCCTTCTTTTTCATTCCCACTTTAAAATTTCTTCTGTTATTGTAACTTTACTTTTGTCATTCTTGTGGGGGGGGGCCTCCCTGGGAAACAAAACGTGTAAAAACACGTTAATTTTTTCGTTTTGGGGGAGATGGGCCCCCTGGCGCTCAAGGGGGGGGGGGTGCAAATTTTCATATTTTCGAGGGCAAACAAAAATAAAATTAGTGCTTACTACCCCCCCCCCCCCAAGGGCCTCCACCCCTAAGAAATCCTGGATCCGCGTCTGGGGGGGGGGGGGGGGGTGGGGAACGTGCCCCCGTAACTATACGCCATTGTGGGGAATGGAATTTTTACAGAAGCTCTCGATCACTTAATTAGCATCACCTTGTATGCATCTGATGAATAGTTTATCTAGATGCCAATAATGACAGTTGCTTTTTCACAAGGTTTCGAGTGTGTTGGCATCACTATATTGCGTAACGGTCATGGTATTGGTAATCTCCCCCTTCTTTTGACGAAAAAGGGGGAGGTAGAATGATTTACAGACACAATGTATTATAATTAAATGGAGTTCATATATTATAGAAGCCATTCTATGTTAAGTTGTTAACAATATTTCCTGACACCCCTCCCAAAATGTGAAAAAACACGATCGCAAACTGTTTCAAGAAATCAATTTAAGAGACATTCCAATACATTATGGTATTGTCTGAAACAATCATGACGTAACATGTTATTTCCATGTTTGCGTATTTTAGTAAGTATAACATATATGGCTATTTAAAGTTTTATATAGTTTTTGCGATCATGTTGCAATAAGATAGCCACCAGGTGAAGACCGGGGCACTGTACACACTTCACTACTAAAGGTTACAGATTCAATACAAGTGAAATTCTTTGTTCAAACATGAGAAACAAAATTTATCATTACAGTGCAAACTGCGTTATCGTGTACTAGTAAACGAAGTTTGACACAAAGCGGCCTTCCGAGTTTCATAAACACATGTCCTTGTTGAATTTTTAATCTTGTTAAACAAACTTTCAAAATTAACATTTCCTGTCTTGGAAGCTGATATATAAAGTGGCACACCTCCCCCTCCCACCCCTTTACTGTTTGCGGTCATACGCTAGTTGACTCATAATATGTAATTCAGTATGCACACTGCACCGTTTTGGTCATGATTCAAATTCTTCCCGTATTTTTTGATATATCCTAAATATTTTATATACTTAAACTTTTTGAGAAATGTGCATAGCAACAATAAATATTTCATTGAAAAACGACAACATAATCAACAACGACAACAGCATAATTACATACGAAAATGGATAGATTTGATTAGACGTTACAGGCAAGACATATCAAATAACTCATGATTACATTGGAAGCAGAATCATGAGGATATTATTATCATTTCACTTTGTCCCCTTCTCCTTCATTGCTCATTGCCTTATAGAAATAGAGTGCTGCATTTCATCAAGGATTATAGTATACTGCCGACAGTACGTGTATAATTATCGATGATTTTAAAGTGAGGATCTCGTCATTTTGCAATTAAAGTTAAAGACCAGTTATGGTCATGCGATTGCATTGTAAAAGAAACGTTGTGGAATCGATCAGAAATGGTTGATCATCTAGCATCTAGCATCTGCAAGGTTCTGGAATCATCAAAATGATAAGAAATTTGGCCCATTCTTCGTAAAGTTACAAGCACTATATACACAGAAAGATGTATATGGGACTACCCTATATCTCTCACAGTCCATGAGAGAAACAAATTTACCAAATATATGAATTAGTAGGCGGTTTCCCGGCAAATTTTTTATCATCATGTATTAGTCAAAACATATTCTTTCACATGATTGGTAATGAGAGCTTCCATTTCGTTTTTTGAAATTGGGGCGTTTCCAATACTGGTCTTTACCTTTAACAATGGTGTAGCTAAGGGGGAGTGCACATTTTAGGGTCATGTGCCCCCTCCCCATCGAATGTCATCGAAAAGAAAGAAGATGAATAAACAATGGACAATTAGCGAGAAATGGGAAAGGGACGAGGAAAGAAGTCGACAAGACCCCTTCCCTTCCAACACCCTTCCCCTGTATAATCATGGGCCTCGTATTTTAGCTGCACATCATTTTTCGAGTGAGACAGGTGCCCCCCCCCCCCTCCTCATACCACACAATGCCTATATCCCCTCCCCGCCCCCTCCCCCACTCTTGGGTCGGAGGGACCGCATTCGTGTTCCCCAAATCTCCGGTATATTAAAGGGGTACTTTTCGCGTCCGGTCCTCAAATTTGCCAATCACCAACATAAAAATGAATGAATAATTAAACGAATAAATGAATAAGTAAATAAATATGGATAAAAGAACAAATAAATAGATGGATAAGTGATAAATAAATAAACCAATAAGTTAATCTAAAAATCTAAAATCAAGTCTGTAAACTATAGAGCAATGAGCACAGAGAAAGAAACTATTTGGCTCAATATCGGATCGTCGTGTAAGAAAGGTGCCATCACAGATTTATTAGATCTTACACAAAATACAACGTGAAAGAAAAACAAGGGCGCGATCACTAGACAAGACAGTCTAATGCACAGCCTGTAGGCATACAGTGCTTCTCAGAATTACAATTTCTTTAATTCTTGTGCACCTTTAATTAGTTTTTACATGGCGGCATTTGACGGGATGTGAAGGGTGGGGGGGGGGGGGGACATCTGCGCCAACCTCCTCTTGCATGCATGGGTCCTGCGCTGTATCGACTTTCTTTCAGGAAAGATACTCCAGCCCCGTATTTTTGTCTTCTTTAACAAAAAGAAAATAGTTAAATTCTTTTTGTTTTGTATACAAATACGTCTAAAAGTCCCCCCCCCCCGAATTAAAAAAAGAGGCATCCTACATGCTGTAGGCGTTTTCTTAAAGGCACACTGCCATACTTGTAGCTACTTGCTCCCTCTATATAGAAAACTTCCTGAATCGGTGCCTGTTGGTCCCCCATGATCCTCTTTTTCTTATGTTAAATGGGTGTTAAATGAGAGCTGAGTTAATGAGATAGCCACCTGTCACAGTGACCTTGATGGCTCTCTGTGTGGTCTAATCCCTTCTGGCCCAGTAGTGGTGACGGTCTTTAAGGAAAAGAAATCACTGAAGCTCATTGAAGTCCTTTAAAGCGCTCTGATGGCGAATCTTTATTGTAATTAAAATAAGTACTCTGTGCGGTATGGTAGATGCAAATCATGCAATTCATCATACTTCATGGACACCGGAATTGATGACCTAAGGATTGCGTAACAGATTTGGCGCAATGATAGATGTACGGATCACTCTTACCATAGTGAGCTAAATATACTCCATGCTCTTACCTTATTTTTTCAGTGATTCGTTTTAAGAGGGTATACATCACTCAGACTCAGTCATGCAATGACAATGGACTTTCACTTTCAATATTTATATTCCGATTACACAAAGGAGCTTAAAATACCGACGGATTTAACAGAGCTTCTTTGACAGGTCAAGGCTAAAGTTGTAGGTCCACTATACCCCGACACGCGCCTGCTCCGCGAACAAGCGCCAGCAGAGCTTAGAGATCGAGAGCAACTAGCGCTACCAGCCGCGCCAACCAACAGCGATTTCATAACGACTGGCACGGATATTGTTGAAGAAGGTCGCTGAATGTCATCGCGTTGTGAGGAAACCTGTCTCAAAAGGAAGCGATTAATTTCGTGTTTTAGGGGATGAGATTAGGGACATCATAACAGATCTTGTTAAACGGACTGTGGGATTATAAACACGTGGGGCGAGCCTATAGAGACAGACAAAATACACTTAACGGTGAGATATTTTTTACAAAGGATCCGACCGGCAAACCGTGATTTGTGAAAGAGCGCATTGTAGCTGATGCGAGGAGAAACTGCACGGATTTATTACCGGTAGTACACGTGCGAGAATAGTGACTCTTTTATAACGAAACGACATCAAATGGTGATAATCGGAGTAAGCTGTCAAAGCTAGCTATTTCTACAGTGGAAGGAGAACTAAAGAGGACAAAATGGGGAAAATATTTAGCAAGAAGAACCAATCATATGACATGACCAAGAATGGTGGGTCTGCCGTGGACGATTCGGGGAAGGTTACGGGGGGAGCACCAAAGGAAACCTTTGTTGGAACGGGAGGAGCTGAGGTAATTATCATCATCTCCATTATCCATACTGCACTGATTTGTCTTTTAATTAAACGTGCGTGCACGTGGCGTGGGTTATGTTTAGAGAGATTGACTGTTGAACAAAGAGCGTGTCCATGTGAGTATCTGTCTGGTTGAGGAGGAGTGTGTGAGTGACATATGACCCCTGAACTTACTCTGAAGTTCATTCGCAATGACGGATTGTGTTTTCCACATTGTTCGTGCACGTGCATGGACCCTAACACAACACTCAGCAAAGCACTAGATCATAGATGCATGTGACGTCTCTGTTGGATGAAAAATCAATCTGATAAATTCCTTGGTTTTATAATGGACATAAATAATTAGATAGGTCGATGGTTCACTTTTTTTTTTGTGCACCTCAGGCTCTGGGTTTATTAATATTATTTTTTGGCATTTTAAATTTGTAGTTAGGGCCTAGTGTCTAAACGATACTTGGCCATTTAAGTAAGATTATAAATTAGTAAGAACATTGAGTTGCTAAATTTACAAGAGCATTTGAAATACCACTACCAGGTATTTGCTCTTAATACAATTTCCATTAAATCATAAAGACATAATGGACGTAAGTTATTATGTAAGGGTCCAATAAACCTTTATCATTAATATAGGTGGGGTTTTTTTGTTGGGGGGGGGGGGCAGAGCAGGTCCATATGGTATTCAATTATTCATTATGAAAATTGTTCATTTTGAAGGATTGTTACTTGTCAAGGTTCCAGGCAACAATCTTTCTCCATTTTGTTTCACAGCATGTGACTCTAGTACAACATGACCCCACAACTACTGTAAAATGTAATTGCAAATATGTTGCCTAAGGGTCTAAGGACCTACACTCCCCCATTTCCGTCTTGCATGGTCAGTGCAACCTGAGAGCTAATAACATAATTTGACTAGTTGCAGACAGCACATGCCTTTAGGCCGACTGTAAACTGATCAACTGTCAAAAGAGACATCAATCAGTCATCTATTGTGGACTCTATAAGTATAATAGTCTACTGTCCGAGAGAGCAATTGCAATGCCAGCCATAGTGTCATAGACCCAAGCAGCTTTGTTCATGTAATAATCAATATTTTTTTGAGGGGGAGGGGGTAGGGAATGTATACCTACATTCAATGCTGTAATTGTCCCTTTCATGCTTTTGTAATTGATTGTTTCAAGTGGCCTTCTTCCCCTGCCTGAATCGATTGCAAAAAACAAATGATGCAACTGATTTAAATGCTATAATAATATTTTAGAATCAAATTGTTTCATAATAAATAAGAATGGTGTCTACAGGCTTATGTAATACATCTTTATGTCCCTTTATACAAAAGTGATATTTTAAAAGGAATGTTTGTAGCTGTTAGATTGGCGTCTTCCCACAGTATTCTGCTATGGGACACTCAGTCTGATGCATAACCATAAATACGGTCTGAAAGGTATACCAGGGCCCGTACAACTCAGAAATATTTCAACTATCTGGCTACTACATCAAGGAGGGGAAAAAGTAATAACTCTTTATCCTTGGGGTTGAGAGGGAGAAGAGAAAGGTAGAAATTCCAAGAAGGGTCAGACCAGTTGAACTCTGACCCCAGTTCTAATTCTGCCAAGGAGGCCTACTTTTATTGCACTGTCCACATTTACCACTGTGGCTTTCTTTGTCGTCTGGCCTGGGGTATAGGAAAAGGTTAGCGGATCTATGCTATTCTTAGAGCATACTTTACTTTACAAGAGAATGTGACTTTTTTCTTCCTTCAAATTGAAGTACTAAAGGTAACTGAAATGCCATAGAGTTTATTCACCCTTTGCTGGTTTTGTGGGGCATGAATGAAACTATGATGACTCAATAACTTTAGATTCCTTAAAATTGAAAAAAACAATGCTTCTCCCTACCTCCTGTTTCAGAGAAGTTGATGAAATAATGGAACAAACAAACAAAGAAAAACTAAGAAAAACATTTTCTCTCAACTTCTCTAGTCTCATGAGTTTTACTTTAGGCCTACCAATGCATCAAATCACTCATCACAAAAGTCAAGTCCAGGTGGACAAAAAGTTACAATATGTTTTATATTCACCTAAATTGAACACCTTGAAAATAATTCTTTTTAACAAGGTTTCATGGAATCTGTGAAGTGTTAATCTTAAGATACAATGTATACATCAGCCAAAAAAATACACGGGGGCTCGGGGCGAAGGAGCCCCCGAAATGCCCAAAAGAGCCCCGGAAAGTCATAAAAGAGCCCCCCAAAATTTGCATAGAGTTCAATGCAAAGCAAATTAAAGAGTGTTAATTTCATGCAAGCAAGGTTGAAAAGTAGCCCCCGAAATTGTTAAAAAATATTTTTTCCCCGGGTATACATGTACGTGGACAGTAAATCATACATGTAAGTACATGTAGGCAAAATACTTTACTTTGGTTCCAGGCCTATTGCTTTGGGTTCTCCATCTCCTTCCAAGATCTGAGTAGCAGTGGATATCAAAACTGTCCCAATGTGCCTAAATCAAAGGAAAGGGGGGGGGGGGGGAATCAAAAAATACTCATTTAGAAAATATGTAGTTCCATAAGTTTCTCACAAGTCATACATGTAAATTATGTAAGCCTACTATCAACCTGTATTGATTAAAGGTACTACACCCTGTATGTCCCATTTGCAGGCCAAAAAACTGAAAAAGTTAAATTCCAACTGCATTTAAAAGATAATACTAATTTAGAACTTCCCTAAAAAAGGTGGGGCTTGAAAATGTCTTCAAGTGGGAAAATTACGACTAGACCTCTATTAGTTGTCAAATCGACTTTAGGGCTATAGAGCCCAAAAGTAATAGTCTTGATTTTCAGACAATTGTACCGAATTGTCATACGTTTTATGCTGCGCAAAGATTCAATCAGTTTAATCATGGCCATCACAAGAAGTGGGTTATTGATGTAGACAAATGCTCATGTACCCTTTACAACTTTTTTCATGTATGTTATTACCAAAGAAGAAAAAAAGCCAGTCAGTCACTCAATAGTGTCTGACAGTGAAGTCTAGCAATTAAACGGGTTTCCTTGCATAATTTGAATAGGAGGACACTGCTAACGTTTAAATTTCACAGATAGGACATACATGACGTATTCATAATTCCTGCAAAGTTCTACAGAATTTGAGGTTGACATAGTACCTTTAAGTCTCTAATTATAATTTGAAAGTAAACTAACATAAGAGGATATGGTTTAAAAGCACTTCCTCATAAAAGTGATGGCATGAGTGCCAAATTCCTCCAGGGTTTTAAAAATAAACACAAACCTCCTGGATTGTGGTATGATAATAAATAATCATTGTACCCATTTTGGAATAAAGATAATATTAGGCTTGCATACAGTTACTGAATTTATTTTTGATACTCTGAATGTGGTTGAAGCGAAGTGGATACATGTAGTTCATGAAGTGGATAAAGCTTTAAAATTCTGCTGGACATACACATAGCTCTACTGCCTCCAGGCCTTTCCATTTGTTGTTGTTATCAAACAAAATATATATAATATATATTGGATATATTTTTTGTTTTTGTTTTTCATTTCCCCATTATATAACTGTCTCTATCTGTTTGGTAAGTTGTCTGTTTTTTAAATATTGTTTTGTTCTCTTTCTGTCATATCTCATTTTCTTTCTTTCTTTCTTTCCTTTCCCCCCTCTCCCCCTCTCCCCCTCTACCCCTCTCCCCCTCTCCCCCTCTCCCCCTCCCCCTCTCCCCCTCTTCCCTCTCCCTCTCCCCCTCTCCCCCTCCCTCTCTCCCCCTCCTCCTCCCCCTCTCCCCCCTCTCCCCCCTCTCGCCCTCTCGCCCTCCCCTCACCCCCTCTCGCCCTCCCCTCACCCCCTCTCGCCCTCTCGCCCTCTCGCCCTCTCCCCCTCCCTCTCTCCCCTCCCCATCCCCCTCTCCCCCCTCTCCCCCTCTTGCCCTCTCGCCCTCTCTCGCCCTCCCCTCACCCCCTCTCCCCCTCTCCCCCTCCCTCTCTCCCCCTCCCCCTCTCCCCCTCCCCCTCCCCCTCTCCCCCCTCTCCCCCCTCTCCCCCCTCTCCCCCTCCCGCCCTCTCCCCCTCTCTCGCCTCTCGCCCTCCCCTTTCCCCCCTCCCCCCCTCTCCCCCTCTCCCCCTCTCCCCCTCTCCCCCTCTCCCCGTGCCCCTCTCCCCCTCTCCCCCTCTCCCCGTGCCCCTCTTTTCATTTCAATGAGATAGACCAACAAAGCAAGTAATTCCTTTCTTGTCAGGCCTAATTATGATTAATTCTCAGTAATGAACCCATTGCCTACAGGAATCAGGTGGTCCTTCCCTGTATGGAGCCTACGGGTATTAGAATATTCAGTAGGATTCAGGTTGGTGTCTGTGCATTATTTGTGATTGATGAAATAATGATTCGCACAACACGTCATGCTGACTACATGTAAAGCTTTTTGATGTTGAATAATTACTAAATTTGTAGGAACGCATCTTGAGTCATACGGTGTGCCTGCTATTTTGATGATGATGTTGTGACAGACTGTTACATCATGGACCCTAGCTTACATCGTTAGATGAAGATGCCCACTCATTGGACTTTTGACCTTTCTCTGTTTCCATGGCAACTAAAGGAGAAAGATGAATTGATAAGTTTGTAGGAACGCATCTTAGTCATCATGTGCGCCTGCTATTATAATGTGTGACTGTTACATCATTGACCCTAGCTTCCGTGGTTAGATGAAGAATGAAGTTGCCCACTCATTGTACTTCTAGCCTTTCTCTGTTTCCATGGCAACTGAAGGAGAAAGATGAAGCAACATAATGCCCAGACGTTGTCTTTTCTTGATGACTGAACTCTGGTTATTTTTAATCGAGTGAATCTTGATAAGGCACACTACAGCACTAGCTAGTGTATAGGTGGAACCTAATGACCTATAGAATAAGAAGGACGACATTGTTCCAATTTTTATCCTTGGGTAGAAACAATGCATGAAGATATTTAGTGGTAAAGATAAGCTAAAACTC